AAAAAAAAACCAGTAATCGCAACATTTGCGGAGGGCTAAACGCAAGTGGTTCGAGACAGTTGCCCGGTGTCTCCTACTTACGGCGAGAGTTCCACACCACCCGCATACTTTTGTGGAGGGCATTGCAGATTAAGAATTCGAGAGATAAGATGATGCGCAGCTTCGAGAGATGTCTTAGCGACATCGACAGCGTCACGGTGAAAAACTGTTCAACGGAACGCGCAGACTAATAGGCTGTACAGCTGCATTTAGTGACAAGGCTGGAAAATGATACCAAAAAGAAACGAGAAATGATAACTTTCCTAATGCTTGGACTCAGTGGTGACCGCAGAACTTAATCACCTTCATCCGTTTAGCATTACTGCGAGTTGTAGAATTTAGTAAGTTACGTATTGCTCAAAAAGAACAGATTTTACGAAAGTATAAGTGACTTGCCAATTTCGGCAACATTTCTCATCGTATGTTTGAAAGCCCAGACTACGGCATCCACAATCAAGCGGAAGAGCTCCGGCGGAAGCGATATTAGCACTTTGAAGCTTTCACGAGTGAGCGCTTGAAGCAGGCTGAAGAAATTCAGACGGTGTTCCGGGAATTCCTCCATGTCACGATTGATCATTTCCAGCGTGCACGTGAACACAGCATCCAGAATACGAATCACTTCCGAGTTGATGGTGGACTGAAGAAACAATTTCAGATCCAGGAACAACATGATTCAATACGTGCAGCAACTCAAATTAGCTTTATTCTTTTTCACAGGAAGCACTGTCCCGCACGTTGCCTAGTTTCTTCGATTAGTAACAAAAATGTTAGAGAAACCTCCTCTCCCCGAACACAGCTGACGCACACACAAACAGAAAACCAAGGGCAGCATGAAAACCGTTCTAATACAAATCAACAGTTGGAGAGAAATAAGGAAGCGAACTAAAAATGCAGGCTAATGTTAGAACACTCAGATCATTCTCTGAGAATCAACGCAGCTCCATTTATTTTTAAACTGTAACGCAGTACTGTTAAAACAATGCACGATGAGTTTCAGTAGATCGAATGCAAAAACTTCGAAGGCTGGGACCAACCTGTAACTGCGTGACGATGATTGAGAGCAGTGAGAGCACTTTTGGCTCACGCGCTGCCGGGCAATTTCGCTGGTAATCGAAAAGAACGGCTTCAAACAGTGGTGGGACGAAATTTTCGAGGATAACCTGGAAAGAAGTGTGCGTTCAAAAACAAGGCAGACAGCCTAATGATTGTGGAAGTGAAATGTCACTCGGAGCACTTTATCGAAGTAATAGTATTTGAAAACGT